AAAAAAGACCATGCATAATTAGTTGATTCTAGGCTTGAGTCCCCCAAGTTTTGGGGAGTTCCCCAGTCCTTGGGTCGCCCGTCTCCCGCCGCCTAAGCCCACCCCACGACAACAAGCCCGGGCAAGGGATTGGGGGGGTAATGTTTTCAAAATCCTTGAAAGAAAGATAGAAAGAAAAAAAATAATTGACGAAAATAAGTGTTTTTTTGTTTGTCTTCTTTTCACCTGGCAAAGAATTCTACTCATGCAACCACCTTGCAACACCTAGCAACACGAGTTAAAAGCATGACAGAATTCCCTTTTCTTTTCTCGCTTCCAAATTCCTGAACCTGCTTATAAAGGCCAATATACGCTTTATAACCATTATTTTGTCTTTTTATCCGAGTGGTTCTCTACTACCTGGCAACTAAAAAATAATATTCTAGAATTCTGATAAACACAAACTCTTTATTCCATGACTTTCCAAATACGAATTCATTATGCATGTATACCGTCATTACATCCCTTATATTTCCAAACTTCTCTGAATTAATATACAAAAAAATCTCACGCAATTAATGATAAAACTTGTGCCTTGATTGGACGCGGTATATTTAATTAGACGGTTGAGAGGCCATCATCATTAACACCAGTAATTAATCTTGACCTCTTCTTCGTCTTGATAATTACGTTTAGTGTTAAAAATCCAACTGAATCATATAGGAAGTAGAAAACTCCAGTGTTCAGATACAACAGCAAATTAATGTAACATCAGAGAATAACTGTGTAAAGAAAACGTTTATTTTCTCTTTCAACTTATGGATCACTGAACAATTTTGATAACCACCTGACTACTATTTAGTGGGAAAGGGATACGTGTTGCACACACACACAAACACACACACCACACACACACACACACACACACACACACACACACACACACACACACACACACACACACACATACACACACACACACATATATATATAGCTTTACTTATTTATTCATATAAGTGTATATATAATACTATATAATCATTAATCTGCTTTTGTTGTCATTCCTTGTTAAGAAGGTTGAAATTTCTATAAATGAGAGAGAGAGAGAGAGAGAGAGAGAGGAGAGAGAGAGAGAGAGAGAGAGAGAGAGAGAGAGAGAGAGAGAGAGAGAGAGAGAGAATGAGAGAGAAACGGAGAGAGAGAGGGAGAGAGACAGAGACAGAGACAGAGAGAAACAGAAAGATAGAGAGAGAGAGAGAAAGGGAGACATAGAGAGAGAGAGACAGACAGACAGAGAGAACTAAACAGTACACGAACGTGCTATAAACCCCTTCCCTCGTGTGACTCGCGCTGCTGGCTTCCTCACGCTCACCGTCTCTGGACACAACCCGAGACACTTTATGGTTTTCATTATCATCGTCATCATCATATTACTACTACTATTATTATTATTATTATTATTATTATTATTATTATTATTATTATTATTATTATTATTATTATTATTATTATTATTATCATTATTATATTATTATCAGCATCATTGTTATCATTGTTATGAGTATTACTATCATTATTATTACTATTACTATTATTATCATCATCTTCATCCTTAACATCATCACATCATCGTCTTCATCATCATTATAGTCATCATTAATATCAAAATGATGATGATCATTATAACTAGAGTTAATGGTTAATGGTTAATGGTTAAAAGCAAGATAAATGTGCTAGACATCTAAGGTCATGTAGCACTATAATTAATGTTAGTGAAAGGTGGTTGAGTTAGTGATTAGTTGTCTAGGCTGGGCAAAGGAATTGGTGAGTTAAAGGGTTAAGGTCGGGTGTTAGATTAGATAAAGGATATGTATGCGTTTGAGGAAAGAGAACAGGTTGTTGATGCAGAAAGTGTGGGATTCTGTAAGGATGTCTGATAGGTTGGGAGGTCGGTGAAGGGAGGATAGGTGGGGGAAAGCAGAGGTACGGGCTGCTTCAAAACGTGGACACGACAATAGGATGTGTACGATTGAAAGGGGAACATTACATAATGAACATAGGGGTGGATCAGATTGTGACATCAGATAGGAGTGTGTTAGACGGGTGTGGCCAATGCGTAAGCGGGCGAGAGCAGTCTCCCAACGTCTGTTCCGATGAAATGGAGCTGACCAGGAGGAGATTGATAGTTTTACAGAATGTAATTTACTAGTGTGGAGGCTTGACCAGAAAGATTGCCATCGTTTATTACAAGAAGGTCTTAAAGTGTGGGTAATAATCCGTGGCTGGGATACGTGAGAAGCGTGGTTGGTATGATGTGGACATAGCAGCATGGCGTGCTAGTGTATCTGCCTGTTCATTGCCGGGGATTCCAACATGGCTGGGCACCCAGCAAAATTTGATTGTTTTATGGCGTGTGGACAGGTAGAACAACCAGTTCTGGATCTTACAAACAAGGGGGTTGGT